ACCAACCTAACTTTTTACTAACTCAGATTTGTCAGACAAACTATTCTAACTCAGATGCGCCTATTTTTTGTGTCGTATCTATATCAACAACAGGGATATGAGCACAGCATTTCTTAGGTTAGAGAAGTAGGCAAAAGAGTTTGATCCAGCGGTGAACGAAGAATTATGTCAAATACCTCCTGACAAAATTTTGAAGTATTGCAATGTCTCCATATTGGTGGTGGTTGATTATTCCTACAGGGTGGTAGGATGATTTATTTTGGGACGAATTTCCGTCATCCCTTGCCAAGTTTGGTTTGGTCGGCGTTGTGCCATTTTCATTTCGTTCTGTCTGGGTGGACTTTGTCTCTATCGGATCCAGCATTAACACGACCATTTGATGTCAGCCTAGAGATCAAACAAAGTATATTTCTTGTCAACAGGTGATCCCAAGGGCTCGGCAATAAGAAAGCAGGGCTCTCTCTCGATGAAGAAAAATCACGCTCTAAAAGGTCTCTCATGAACGATGTCGAGTAAAGATGATAGGGTTCTGGGATCTGAAAGAACTAGTCTGCGCAAAATTTATCTATTCTCGGGAGAACGATGAAGATGGAATGACGAAATACGATGCGCTGGCTTTGGCATGTTGTACGTGGTGAAAAGACTTTTTGACTCGGGCACCTAAGTGTGGCCAATGAACGAAAGGGCGCCCACGGCCACAATGCAAGGACCAAGTTCAGAAGCATCTGACTACACATGGTGCGAGCGATTGGCATTTTTTTCTTTTAGTCTAGGCCCAAACCGACAAGAATTCGTAGTGTCTTCTAAGTAGCAGAGAATTAAAAAGTGTGATTTGCGTAAATTTAGCCTTATTTTTATTTTTTTTTAATATATATTTTTATTATATTTTGGTAAATTATTAACAATAATTAGTTTAAGTAAACTTAAATATAAATATATATTTTTAATTCTTATGTGTAAATATAGTATCGTTTGCAAGTACGTATGTATATATGTATTTACATCTGTTTTTATGGGTGACTAGAAACTTCTAAAAATATTATATTGAAAAATTAATGTTTAGAATATCTGAATTTTTGCCTACTTTACGACCAGATCAGACGACTGGTAGATATTTATATTTATTTGTAGAAAATATAAAAAATTTACGCAACAATTTTTTTTAGCAGTCACAAATTGGTACAGCACATATAAATCATGATTGAGCCAAAGGCAAAAATTTTATCCATTGGGCAATCGTCTGACTCGGCCTTAAAGACAATTTTTTTTATTCATAATTTTTCTTTTTTATTTCTATTTTTTCCTTTATATTTACATATGTACACACATATCGACCCTAGCCGGCGGCATTCTTTGTTCAAAGTTTTATTTTTGATGCAGAAATGGGTCTAGATGCTCTAGGAACAATTCTGCATCAAATATAAACTTTTGAAAAAAATTTCGCTTATGTATTTTTGACGATTTTGGGCTCCATGTGTTATTATATTGCCAGAAACATATTAAAACCATACTAAAATACAAACGATATTTTGAACTATAAAATATTTTTGACCACCAACAGATTTGTCATTTGCAAATACAGTAAGACTTCGCTAAACCGCACATTTAATAATTTTAATATCCAGTCATTTGTACTAAAGTTTTCGAAGCATAACTACGAATTGATTGTGGCTTAGTAACCGTGTTCGGACTTTACTTCAATTGTGTTGGATCTACCACATTTTTTTTTCAAATCTGATTTCCACACATCTACTACAGTAAGCTTAAAATCAAGCACATTATACAAACGAAGGCAAATGAACGAAAGCAAAACCTTATTCAATAAAATTAAATAAAAATGTGGAAAATGTTTTGAAATGTAATTTTTTTAAAAAGCGTTTGAGATTTAAGACATCTAGATTCTCAAGTAAATACACAGAATAGATTTAACATAATTTACAAATTTAATTGTCTGGTGCATCTACTTGATTTTTCGTATGTTGTTTTCGTAAATATTCAATTCACATACGAACAACATCAAAAATATCCACAGAATAAATAAAAAGAAATTTTTACTGCATACATGCATATAAATATATATGTATGTAAATCTACTACATTATTTTAAAATCTACCAAATTTTTTCAGATTGTCTACTACTAAAAATGGTTTTACAGTCCGAACACTGCTCCGAAAACATGGTTTTTTACTACGCTTTCAAATTTGTTCGTTTTTGCATTTACTTCGGGTATTTTTTTCTTCCAAATTCAATGGGCCTTTACCACGGTATTTTGTAGATGGACTCTAGCAAAATAGCATGAATTAGTTAATACTAACTTTTAAAAAAGCGGAGTACCAAAAGCTTCAAATTTAAATTTTCACTCAATTCAATTTATTATTAAAAATATTTAACCCAGATAGCGGAGTGTAATTATTAGCCACGATTAGCGAGGTCTTACTGTACCATGAAAAGACTATGCAAAGGTCGTATTTAATAATTACCTAGGCACTGCTTAACGGTATAATTGAATTTTTAATAAACTTTTTTATTTTATTTACAATACTTCCGCGAAGTGCAACGGCTGCGCCGGTAGGCTTAATGAGTTCAGTGAATTTTTTCGAGGTTTTATTTTTAAACATATCATGTGTTATCTATTTACATACATATGTATCTATATTTATTTATACCATCGCCAGCAAGGCAAAAGGCGCTAAATGGCAAATTAGCAATGTTATAAATGATGCAAAAAAAACGTCAACAATTAACAAAGAGAAAATGATTTTAAAGTATACACTAAAAGTATAAGTAAAACTTATGTTTTCTTTGAATTTGGCTTTGAGGGGGTGTATCTAAATGTAAATTAATGGAATATAAAAAAAAGGTATTTCAAAAAATACTTTTTGGTGCACTTTTGCACTGATAACTGCAAAATGTTCTCCATGAAATTTAAGTATAGTCATTTTCGGTTCGACGCATTTACAAATTAACATTTTCTTTTTTTTGTTATTAAGTTGTTAAAAGCTTATTGTGTATTTAATCCAACCTGCATTATTTTCTTTATTTTTATTATTTTTTTTTTCTTCACGCTTCGAAGTGCATATTTGTATGCAGGTATTCAGTGTAAAGTCTAAGCAGAGCATTTTATAAAATTAAACTATTTCAAAAATATGTATGTATGTATAGAGGTATAGGTATACACATATGTATGTATGTATGTATATACAAATATGTATGTATTTATTTTAAAACAATGTAGCTACAAGCAAACACACTGCTTAACTAAATACCTGTCTTTAGAAATAATAGAAACAAGTTTTTCAACTGCATAATTCCATAATTAACCTCTTAGGTGTCTTCATTTGTATGTATGTATGCATGTATGTACATTAGTGATGCATTCACTGCCCATACAAAAAAAATAATCGGTACAGTTTTCCTTCGGAATTATAAAAATATAATAGATATTTTAAGACATTCACTAAAATATTTCAGAGAGATATTGAGATTTAGATGAGCTGGACCTACTTCAAAATACTCCAAAATTCGAGTTTTTTTATAGTAATATTTTTTTTTAATAGTATTTCCAAAAATCACCTTAGGTTATAGACGAGTTTAAGCTTAAAAGATGTGCATAAAAATCAGGGGCCAAAAATAACCGTTAAATATCAAGATTTTTATTTTTATGTAGTTCATTTAAAAATCCTTATTTTCTTTTATTTTTTTCGGTCTAATTTAATCGTTACTCTGTGATTTTGAATTTTTCTGATTTTAGTTAAATTTGGATTTTTTCGGCGGAATTTAATCGTTATTTTGTGAGCTTATTTTTTTTCGATCAAAAATAATCGTTATGGAGACTGCGCATTACCTTAATTCACAAAGGAATTTTTTACGAAATTGCGTTTTTCACAGATTTTGGTAGGATATATTAAAATACAATTTTAATCAAAATTTTAAAGCGCTAGAACCAAAAACAACTGAGTTACATGCCACTTTTTAAAAATCCCTACCTGCTTTGGTGATTTTTTTAATAATGTTTTTTGCTTTTCCAGTAAAATAAAAAATTTGTTGATGAAAGTTTTCGTGAATTAAGGTAACGCTGCGTTTTATGACCGATTCAAATAATTTATGATCTAAAAAATTTAATCTGAAAATGAAAATCCAAAAAATTTTCGAAAAATTAAAATTTGGTCAGAAAATTTCCAATTCAATTTTAGCGGTTAAATTATGATTTTTATTACAAATATAACTGTTGCCGTCTCTGATAAAAATGTTTAAAAATTTAATCAACAGTATCAAAAAAAATTTAAATCGGTCTAATATTTTTCGAGTTATTTTATCGAAAGTCTTAAAATAAATATAAGAAATTTATTAATTCCGGTGGAAAAAACGCTACTTTTTTTTGGTGAGCATGCGCAGGGTTGTCCAAAAAAGTAAAGCCGGAATTTTAATGCTCCTCCAAGGATTAATCTGTACCGAAAAAAAATAAACCCCATTTTTTGATTTCGAAATCAAAAAATATTTAGAGGTCGCTCAAAGCGCACAAAGTTTTCCATGTAATTTTTTAAGGGCGAAAAATCACTTTTCTTAGAAATGGCATAGAATTCTTGAAAATCAATATTTTACGATCGGATAACTATGGTTCACCTCAAGAGACCTCCAATAATAATACCGAATTGTTTATTTAACCATTTTTTATTACTAACGATTTTTGAAAATTTCTCCATTGCATTTTCAGGCATTTTTGGCGGACCTATAAAAGTTAGTATTATTTTTTTCGGTATAAAACAATCCTAGGGGGTGAGAGTATTAAAATTCCGACTTTACTTTTTCACAACTATTTATGGATTACCCTAATGTATATGCATGCAAGTATATAGAGTAGTTGCCTATAAGTTAGTACATAACTAATATGCATATATGTATATATATATCGTCACCTGTAATGTAAAAAGACGTAACAACATCGCAACTGAAATGGAAAAAGTCATGACTAATATTTTTTTTTTTTAATAAAATTTTATGGGAGTAATTCGATGAAATCCATTATATAAATCAAAAAGTGAATTTTGAATTTTTTATTAGTTATGACTTTTTGCACTTCAGCGATGATGTTTGTTGCGTCTGTTTGAATTTCAGGTGACGATATGTACATAGATCACTGCGAATCCTCGGCTGGTGTAGCTAATTTGATATTTCCAAGCGCATTCATCGCATTTGCAAAGGTGACCGATGGACGCACCGCAGAACCCGATGGACGCACCACAGAACCCGATGGCCGAATCACAGATGGTTCTTGCTTGACGTTAAAACTCTCTACATTAAACGATGTTAATTTTGTGGTCGAAGTGGCAACAGATTTTGTGGAAGCATTTGCGGATTTAACCAAAACATTTGACTCGCAATCAATTGTATTTCGCGACATCTGCGGCGGCCTCTGCTTCATCTTGCGTCCACTGGTAGCATACAATTCATGTTCGCTGGTACAGCTCGATAAAGGATTTATCATTGGTATTTGTGATAGACGATCATAATACTTAATTAATTTATATTGCTCCTTATTCATGTTGCTCTTCTTGCCACACTTTTCGAGTTCTAAGGCCACATAGGCTAGGTAAGTTGGGGCCAGTGTGACAATGATACGCAGCGCTGCATGGGTGATAGCAGTTGGCGGGGACGGATATTGATTGTGATCGCGTTGAAACGAAATGTCGTCGATTGTGGGTGTGGAATGAGCACACAAACCATTGCGCAAATTCAAACAGCATGGAAAATAGTAATATGTTTAAAATTTGAAAATCGAAATGTACAAAATATTTAAGCATTAACAATTTTATGCCGAAGTCCACCATCAGCCAAGCAACAACCTTCATCAACTCAAAATCATATCACAAATTATACGTATGCTAGCTAGACACGTACGCCGAACACTGAAGGCTGCTGCAGCCTCTGGCCATACAACCTGAAGCACAACAATGGATCGCTGCAGCTCTATTCAAACTAGTAAATTTAACCTGTTTTCGTCTTGCGTTCATTTATACCAGACGTTGAGCGCAACAAAATGCTGCTATGAGTTCTGGTCGGCGCATTGTCCTTGGAATCCACACTCATTATGGTTGAGAGCGCCGCATGCGCCACGGGCAGATTATCGTAGAGGCATACATAAATTCTATGGCTGATGTAGACTACGATGAAACAAAGGATAATGACGAGCAGCGAAATGAAAGCGTACGCCAATATGGTGGGTATGTAGACGATAGTGTCCAGCATTTTTGTTGTTTATTGAATGATTTGCTCTGCACAAAATTTAGTAGTTCCTCTACCTCTACTAGGTAGGCAGTTTTTAGTTGATTTATTTTAAATGTTTGTCAATAAAATTTCAATATTATTTATTTATTATTGTCACTTGATTTAAATTGTTTATACACATGTATGTTCGAATAATGTTCTATTTTCAATTATTTCCAATGATCAGTTCATTGCAGTTCAATTAACTTCAAGCCACTTTGCGCGAAAACGTTCAAATTGCTCTCAAGTAACTATTAGCGGTGTTGACTTTTTCAATTGTGCAAACAGCATATAAATCTTTTAACCATATGTTCTTATTTATATACAAATGCATGCGCCTATAAACGAAAAGCAAAAACACAACTCTTCTTTTATCTCCGTTCCACGTAGTGTTCCGCTCAAACGCCTGCAAGTGACTGACTTTTCCTCCAATGCTTTGAGCATGGTTTTTTTTTTGTTTCGTTGACTGGCTCGCTTGTTGACTGTTAAGGAACATTCTTGTCCATTCATTGTCTCGTTTGTGCGCGAGAGTGCACCCACTTCTCTATCAGCAGTTGAGTGGACACAGAACCCGTAGAGCGTGCGCTCAGTGAGCTAAGTGGAAGTGGCACTGATTGCCATTATGCGCTCTGCACTTGCCGCTGTTTATGTCATTTTACCGTTGATGCACAGCAAACGGCTCGCGAGCGCTAAGTTCGGAAACTGGTAGGCCTAGTTGGTGCTATACGATTATGGTTTGAATGAAGCAATGCAGTTAAAAAAAAAAAATAAATGGCAATTCATTGTACGTTTTTTACTTTAATACATATTTATGTTTGCTTGCATTATACTCGCGAGTAGCACTTTAGTTAAGTACACTTGCGATCAGCAAATTAATCCAGCAACGTTTTTATAATTTTTTTTTTCATTTTTCGTTTGTTTATTTAATGTTTATTATTTGTTCATAAAGGTCTAGCTCATTATATAACAAACACCATAAAAATCGTCATTTCAAAATTTGTGCAAAAATTAAAAAAAATCTGCAAAGCTTCATATAAATTTTCAACCTTTTATTCAGATTTTTCAGAAGTTCTAAGTTGCTAAAAAATCGCGTTGATTTTTAATAATTTTTTTCTGAGAGTATTAAGCAGGTTTTTCCATCCAAAAAAAAAATTCTCCAACGTACTTTGATTGAAAAAAAAAAATGCGTGGAAAAAACTGCCCAAAATCAACGCGATTTTTCAACAACGTCAAACTTGCAGATTTTTTATAATTCTTACACAAAGTTCGAATTGTCGATTTATATGATGTTTGTTATATACTGAGCTAGACTTTTATGAAGAAATAATAAACATTAAATAAACAAAAAAAAATGCCAAAATTTATTAAAACCTTGCTGGTTTACATAGCTGACCACAAGTGTATATGTATGTGCATGTGTATGTGTTCAAATATAGCGATCGCAATGCACATAAAGTGTGCAATAAATTGCAATACATAAATGCCCATATCGCCGTCCAGCCATGGCGTATACGTAACAGAATTTCCGTTGCATGGGAAAGGTATGTGGTTGTGGGGTAATCTATAGTGTCTTGTAGTAAAGAATTTTCGCAAGTGGCGCCTTAAAAATTTTGGTGGATTGAGAAACTACTCTTCTGGTTAATATTTATTATGAGCTATATAAGTGATCCAGTACAACAGTAGCACTTATTCCGTTGCGATGGTCGTCAATGTTTGAAGAGGTCACAATCGAGAGGCTTCGTTGGCGTATTTATTGTAGTGCGCCCTTACGTGGTGGCAGGTCTTTGGCAGGTCTTGGAATTGGCCCAATACATTCCAGTTTGTCACTCAATTTCGATCATTTGATACATGTCGATAATTCGACGAATTTCAAAAAGACTAAAATTCGATAAATCAATAAAATTCGATAACTCGACTAATTTCGAAAATTTTCGATAACTGTGCTTTCCGAGAACTCGCTGTATTTCGATAACTCAAAAATTTATATAGATCGATAACTCAATAAACTTTTAATAACTCTATAAATTTCGCTAACTCTGTTAGTTTTGATAGATCCGTATTTTTTGAAAGCTATCGACGAATTTCGATAACTCGTTACACTCTAGTAACACGCTAAAATTCGATTAGCAGCGATAAATCGACAAACTTATATAACCTTGAAATTTCCGTAACTCGATATATTTTGAAAACTTTACAAAACTTCGATACGATGAATCGACAAATATCGGTAAACCAATAAATATAAATTTTCTCGATGCATTACGATAACTTTAAAATTTCATTAACTCTATAAAAAATATTAATTCAGTAAATATCGATATCTTGATAAACTTCTTTAACTTGAAAATTTTCCGTACTCACATAAATTTGTATAGCTCGATAACTATCCGTAAGTTTTGGCAACTCAATAAACATTGAAGTTGACATTAGTCAAGAACGCAGAACGTATACTTAAACGCAGTCTGTATACGCAGAATTTTGTCGATTACTGGAGCCCTCAGTGTTGCTTACTACAGTGTTGCCACTCATCAATGCCTTTTCATAAACTTACATTTTCAAATACAATTTTTCGTGCTACAATACATCGTAACTAAATATAATCTACTTAGTTTTCAACAAAAAACCTTATTCAATGGTAAATTGCAAACATTTTAAACGTATTTTGAATAGGAAGTTATAACTTGTTTACCATCTGCAAAACTGACGAAGTGGCAACCATCTATAAAAGAAAGAAATCAGCTGACACGGGAAAATCTAAATTCCGCAGACTTCTGCGCTACGGGCAACAACTACAGAAAAATTCTGCTGTGTTGAGTTTTCATTTACATTGCGCTCTGGTAAGACAGATCGTGTCAGCTGACTCGGGTTTACGTACCGGTAGGTTTACGTTCTTGACTAATTTCAGCTTGATCAATTTAAATAATTCAATACGCCGCGATAACTCAATAAAAATTTATAACTCGATAAATTTCGATATCTATAAACTTCGGCTATTCGAAAAATTTTGGTGACTTAATAACTTTCAATAACAAATTTTGTATGACTGAATTTAATTTCAATTAATTTTCCAACCCGCTCAATTACCCTGATCTAGGGATGTCAGCGGCAAAAATACACCGCCAGCAAAATAAAAAAATTAGCCGTCAGCAAAAAAAAAAATATTAAAAATCAACGCGATTTTTTCAGCAGCTTAAAACTTGCACTTGGTAATACTCAAAATTAACAGGCTATAAAAATCTATACCCGAAAAATTAAAAAAAAAACATTTTTTTCAACTTTTACTAAAATATTTCTTGTGTAGGTGTATTTCTGTTAATTTAGGTTATAACAGAGATAACAAGTTTTGTTATTAATATATTTTGGGCATGGCATTGCGAGGCGATAAGGCGTTAACGCGCATTTGACTGCATTTGAAGGCTTGTTTACATATGGATGTATGTATCTACATACATACATATGTACAAACGCACTAGTTCCGTACTGGTTTGGTACTAGGTAATTCGGAATCATGACTAGTGCGCGTTAATTCTCTTTTGCATGCTAGCAACTGGCGAATTTTTTGTGTTACGAAGTGTCAGTTCTAAATCGACTGACGAAAAAAGGAAAATTATTTTTTCAGAGTTATTTTTGGTTTTCCCATGGTAGAGATTTAAATCATGGTAAAAACATTACAAGGTAAATTCATTCTCTCAATTCGTCGGCCATGATTTTCTATTTCTGACGTTTGCAAGCATTTCAAAATCACTACTATCGCCTAGTTGTCGAAATTCGACATTTTCTACATACGCTTTTGAACTTCGCTTGCCAAAAATATTGACTCCTTTATGCCAATGACAATTTTGGCTGGTAGACTTAGCCAAATTTATAGCGAATTTACAGGAAAACTTGAAATCAAATTTTTTTAAAAGCTTTCGAAATAAGACCGCGACAGGCACCCCAATTTTCATTTATGAAAAATATACAAACATATGTATTTGTATGTATAGATTAGATGCCCAACGGTTCCTCACTGACCAATATGTTAAAGATATACATAATAATTCAGACTGTAAATACGTTTTTCGATTATACTGGTCTGAGCGACACTTGAAAGGCTAAAAACTGAATTGCCAACATCTTGCAATTTTATATGTGTATAGATGTAATAGGTGTATCAAATTCCATTGCCCTATCATAAGTGGTTCCAGATATAAGCGGTATGAGAATTTCAGTTTGTTTGGGAAGTGCTACGCCCCCTTTTTCAAAATCTACCACTTTTCACCATAAGTACGATATTGATAGCATAAATAGCTGTGTCAAATTTCAGGACGTTAGCATAAGCGGTGATAGAGATTAGCGATATGAGGTTTTCAGTTTATTTAGGAGGTGCCGTGCCCTCTTTTCGAATACCTACAATTTTTCGCCGTAAGTAGGGTATTTACTATTTATGCATCCTTGCCAAGTTTCAGTTCCCCAACGTAATTGGGTTTGGAGATACATCGGTTTTCACATTTTAGTCTGTATGTCAGATGCGGCGCCCCCTATGTAACGGGGTTAACATTTCTGGATTAGAGGAAGTTATGTTCTTTAAATCGGTGTATGTTTCATTGAAATCGAGTGAACTATGCCTTCAAAAAAAGGGAGTTCCAAAATTTTCTTGCGGCGTATAAATGTAAAATTGAAAAAAAAATGAAATTGTTCACAATTGTTGTTGTTTGAGATTGAAAATGAGA